CCCCGCCCCGCCCCGCCTCGCCCCATAGTGGACGAGCTGACACTCGAGTCTCGTCGCTCGCGCATCCGATCCACTATCGGAACCATGGGCTGATTCACTCTGGCCTAGCGGAAGGCGAGCCGGGCGAAACTATTTGCACACGTGGTATAGAATACCTCCTCCAACTGCCCGCACGACCCGCACCACCCGGGCGCGCGGCGCCGCGCACCACAGCTCTGCAGGCAGGCGTCGTCTTGTTATTCGCCTCCACAACTCGGCACCTTCCTGGAAGTGAGACAGAGAGAGAGAGAGAGAGAGAGAGAGAGAGAGAGAGAGAGAGAGAAGAGCAGAGCAGAGCAGGGGGAGTGGAGGGGCAGAGAATGCAGTCCTACGTGTGACATGGTGTGACCCACCACCACCATACCATAGCTCTGTGGCATTTTTCGTTTCCCGCAACTCGGCGGTGTAAAGTTCACGTCCGAACCAAGCAATACGCGAGACTTTTGGCGGCTCTGGGGGCTCTGGAAAGAGCCACGCACATGATAGCGCTTTCCGAGTCTTATCGTACAGGTGCGATCGTCCCGCACCGCCTCGTACCCTCGTCGTCCTGTACCGTTCTGACCCGTCCGCACCACGCACTTGCCCGCCGTCCCTCCTAGAGCACCACACGACGTCGTCGTGGACTCGCGTAACTCCCAGGGCCTCCGAGCCGAGTTGTGCGCGCCGCGCTCGCCGGGCCCGCCGCGGGCTGTCCCGTCCCGTGAGCCAGCCCACGTGCACCTTGTGCCTCCGTCCCCCGTCGTCGAGCTATGGCGCGGGTCACAGGTCGGGTAGAGACGCACGACGCCACTTTGTCGGCGCTGCAAGGAAATAATAATACTCGGGAGAAGGAGAATAGCGAGACGAGTAAAAAAAAAAAAAAAGTATAATTCGTGGGGGAAAGCTCTGATAAAATGGCGACGTGGAGCGCAGCGCCGCGGCCGGCATCCGCGGGTCAGAGCTGCAATAAGTAAAGTGGAAGACGGCAGCCGATCAGCAGTTGATACAACCAAAGCCAGCGGGTTGTAAATACAAAAATTTAATTCCAAAAAAAACGATTTAAATTTAGGAACCTCATTTCAAATTTTATATGGTCGCACCAATAAAATTGAGTCCAGCATGACAAAGTTATTTACAGGCGCGGTTTTCCAGGGGGGTGGGAGGGGAGCAAGGGCTGTTGAAAGACGCCTGGGAGCTAGGCAGTTTACTATA